GAAATGCTGTTGGATGCGACTCGGGTGCGGCTGTGATTGTGTGAGAGAGATAGAGATCTTCCTCACAGCACCTCTTCCCTGAAGCGCCACCGTCCTTTGCTTATGTGCTCGTCGGTTCAACCCCTGCACTTTTATACAATAACCAATATAAACAAAATCACTTTTCCAAACAAAACCTCGGTGAAATCAGCAGCACTCTTTTGTCTACATATCCTTTTGCTAAACTTTTTCTGCTGTGCTCCGATTACCTCGGATTTTTATCCATGAATAGGGGAGTCTTGCCTTTTTTTCAATAAATCACATTAAGTATGCCACAGACGTCATCAACCCTTCCTCCCGGGATATAATAGTACAGTTCCTTCCTCATCGATGAACGAGTCATACGCCTCAAATGGAACTTTCCTCTAAACGTAATTTCGGGGGAAAAAAGGACAATTTGCAACTTTTTTTCAACTTGACATGACAATGTGACTGCCAATTAGGCTCACCAGTCCGTGGGTTGTCTCGAGGTCCCAAACCACATCAGTCACTCCATACAGACACTTACGCACTGTAGGACTGAGCAATGATGGGACAATAGCGGGTGGACACGACAACAAAAAGAGCCAAGTTCAGAAACGCCACATTTGCCACAGGGTCACGAGTTGAGCGCTGTCCAGCAGTGGGGTACTGAAATTTCATTGTGAATAAAAATAGCGCAAACTTTTTTTATTAACTTAAGCTATATTTATAGGCTGGATGAAATGTATCTCTCTCTCTCTTATTTTTTTTTACTAATACAATCAATAAAAGACATATTAGTCTATTTTAGTCTCCTATGCGTCATGGCCTTTCTTTGGTGAGCGGAAATTACTGCGTCTGACATTTTTTAGAATGATAAGCCCACCTAGCTATGTTCCACTTATAACTTCAATATAAACTCTCGTTAGTTTTCGTTATATCACTCACGAAAGCAAAACGTTATTAGTTAGTCAAAATACGTGATTTTGTTATGGTAGCCTACTATGAGCAAACTGGTTCCCTAATGCATTTACTGGCCTGTCCGCACACAGAAGACGAAGCCTGGAGTCGTGCACCACCGGTGGATTTGGTATGAATTAATTCATGATTACGATTAGTGAACTCTGACGTCATATGTCGAAACTATAAGTCACCGCTTCGTATGTATACTCACTCATTCTGTACACAGAGCGTGATTTAGTTGAACAATGAATCCGCGCCTTGGTTACCTATCACCTCAGGTCCGTTCTTACCTCAATTCTGCCCCCATGTGTTTCAGATTTGAAATTACATATGAAAACGTTGGTTGGTTTCAGAGGTGCACGGTCACCTGTAAGCGTCTTGAAGACTAATTCGATATTTTTTGTTAGACTTTTGTAAATAAACTAGGCTGTAATTAAACCGTTTTATCCAAACGCTCTATATAAAGTCATAAATAAGGACTTTTGTTTATGCGCATTCTGTATCGCTCGGGAACGTACTGTTGCTATAGTTACCACACAACTTATGTTCGCGAGACTTTTTTGTGATACCAGAACGTTTTTTGAAAAAGCTGTTGAAAGTTGTGGTTATTGAAACTTTGATGAAATGTAGCTATATATGTATTGCCTATACTTGCTTAATAGTAGGCTATAGAAATAGTAGCCTACACATCATTTTACTTAGTTTGGGTTTGGTTGAATCTAAATGGGGGTTAGGCTACCCAATAACTCGCAGCATCATGAATGGCGTTTTAACTTGCCTTTCACCTGTTCATTTGGCCACCCAAGTTACAGCATTCATTCATTCATTCAGGCCTATTTATGTATGTAGGCCTATGCAGCATGCATATCAGTAGCAGTATCAGTTATTTTCATAATTGTTCAAAATAATTGTGTTCTCGGTTCACAAACCCATACTTGCTGTAAAAAGAGACAAACACAAACTTCTGTAAATTAAGTAAATGAGAAAAACTGGAAAACGTGCTATTACTGACTGTGTATGAGTCAAGTAGAGGAATAATTTACAGTAAAGCTATTAAGTTGCTTCCTCTGGGTATCCTGATGTAACCAATGAGATTAAGGTACATTTGTCAACTTGAGTGCAAGTATTGATGTCCCGAATTACAGCGGGAGGAAGTCGTTGTTTCGTCACACATTCGTCTCCTGTGTCACTACATATTGTGGTACTTTAAACTTCCAACTGGTGGTTTATGGTTTCCCTTGTGGATGAACATGACCTCTCTATGACGCATATATAAGCACGCCTACAGCATACAAGAAACCTCACTTAAAACGGCTTCAAAAATTAAAAACAAGAATTTTTAATTTTTGGAAATTACTAATTTACATATACATAAATTGTACAACTGATGCATAATATATCATTAGACTATTACGCAGTGTCTTCAGGTGCTAGCGTGCAGTTTTTTAAGCAGGGATATGATAGAGTCTATCAAAATATGTTGGTTGGTTACAGTAGTAAATATGTACATATCCACATACAGCATAAAGGCCTACAGAATACGACAATATGCACATAAGTATGGAAACAAAAGTTACATTTTAAAAAATAATATAATAAATGCAACAGTTATGCAGAGCCTTGGTTTACTTTTGTGTAGGACAGTAAACTGTAGTGCGATCAAACTCCACTTGAAGCCAGTATTTACCAGTGGAGTGATAGTTTACTAGCAGTAACACTTAGGGCCTGCAACTCTTATATTTAAGAGTTTTGGTCAAATTACATTTTATGTGAGCTGTTGTATTTGCAATAATAATGTGACCCTAGACCACAAAACCAGTCTTAAGTCGCACGGGTATATTTGTAGCAATAGCCAACAATACAATGTATGGGTCAAAGTTATCGATTTTTCTTTTATGCCAAAAATCATTAGGATATTAAGTAGAGATAATAATAATAATAATAATTCCTTACATTTATATAGTGCTTTTCTGGGTACTCAAAGCGCTTTACATAGAAGGGGGGAATCTCCTCAACCACCACCAGTGTGCAGCATCC